TAATACACGCAGTTAGCTCCGTATTAGGCTGAAAGGCAACACCGCTGCATGAACACACCCATTTGTAAATAAATGCAGCGCATGTCGCCGTATCGACGGAGACTGTGAATATGCACAGTCTGACTGGGATAGCTAGTTGCACTGAAATACAGGGCAACATGGCAGCATAACACAAGTGAGTAAGGAATAGCGCATCCTTGCATGTACATAACGCAGCGTAAGTCGCTGTAGCAACAGAGACTGTGTAGAGACAGAAACTAAGATGCATAGTTAGATTAGGATGGCTAGCAGCACTGAAGGAAACAGGGCAGCATTACAGCATAACACATCCGATTACGTACATGCATCCAGAACTGTGAATATGCACGGTTAGATTAGGATAGCTAGTTTTGCACTGAAGGAAACAGGGCAACAAAATAGCAAAAACACGTCCTTGTACGTGCCGTGTAGTCGCCATAGCGACAGAACTGAATATGCAGTTAGATAGGATAGCTGGATGTTGCACTGAGGATAGAGGGCAACATAACAGCATTACCCATCAGTGTGCACATATCAAGCATCTGAGTGTATAATGCGGTGCAAGTCGACGAAGCGACCGAGACTGCATGAATATGCACAGTTCACATAATGGTCAGTTACGTTAGCAACATAACTGCATAACGCTTCAGTGTGGACACAGATGCAGCGCAAGTCGCCGTAGCGACAAACTGTGACTATGCACAGTTAGATAGGATAGCTAGGTGCACTGAAGGATACAGGGCAACGCGTTAGCATAGTCACATTAGTGTGTACAAAAACACAGCGTCAGAGGCATCGCGACATCGACTGTGAATACATAGTAAGTCAGAATAGCCGGTTGCACTGATGATACAGGGCAATATTTAGCGGCGTAAACATAGCACATCAGTGCGTAGCGTGTACACAGCGTCAGTTGCCCCGCACAACAACTGTGTACGTAATCAGAATAGCCATTTGCACTGAAGGATACAGGGCAATGTACGACGGCATAAATCATAACACATACAGTGTGTAGAGTGTACATAGACACGGCGTCAGTTGCATCACACGACAACTGTGAATATGCACTGCGTAGTAATCAGAATAGCCATTTGCACTGAAGGACACAGGGCAATATACAATGGCATAAATCATTACACATAACAGTGGGTTGTATGTACGTAACACAGTGTCAGTTGCATCGCACCACACTGTGAATACGTAGTAATCAGAATAGTTATTTGCACTGAAGGACACAGGGCAAAATACAAAGGCAAAACTCATAACACATAGTGTGTAGTGTGTACATAACACAGCGTCAGTTGCATCGCACGACAACTGTGAATACGTACTGCATAGTAATCAGAATAGCCATTTGCACTGAAAATTACAGGGCAATATATAATGGCATAAATCCCAACACGTAACGCTGTGTAGTGAGTACGTAACACAGCGTCAGTCGCTTGCACAACAACTGTGAATACGTAGTAATCAGAATAGCCATTTGCACTGAAGGATACAGGGCAACAACGGTAAAATTCATAACGCAGTGTACAGTGTGTACGTAACACAGCGTCAGTTGCATCGCAAGACTGTGAATACGTAGTAATCGGAATAGCCATTTGCACTGAAGGATAAGGAACAGGGCAATATGTAATGGCATAAATCATACACATAACAGTGCGTAGTGTGTACGTAACACAGCGTCCGTTGCAACGCAACAACTGTGAATACGTAGTAATCAGAATAGCCAGTTGCACTGAAGGGTACAGGGCAATATCGTGGCATAAGCATAACACACACATATCAGTGTACATAAACACAGCGTCAGTGGCATCGCACAACTGTGAATCAGAATAGCCATTTGCACTGAAGGATACAGGGCAATTTATAGCGGCATGAATCATGAACACATATCAGTGTGTAGAGTGCACGTAAACGCAGCGTCATTTTATCGCACAACAACTGTGAATACGTGGTAATCAGAATAGCCATTTGCACTGAAGAAACAGGGCAGCATATAACGGCGCAAATCTTAGCACATATAGTGTGCAGTGTGAACATAAACACAGCGTCAGTGGCTTAGCGACAACACTGTGAAAACGTGGTTAAATCAGAATGGCCAGTTGCACTTAGGGATACAGGGCAATATATAAGGGCATAACAGTTAAATCATAGCACAAATCAGTGTGCAGTGTGTACATAAACACAGCGTCAGTGGCGTAGCGACAACAACTGCGATTATGTGGTTAAATCAGAATGGCCAGATGCACTGAGGGATACAGGGCAATATATAAGGGCATAACAGTTAAATCATAGCACATATCAATGTGCAGTGTGTACATAAACACAGCGTCAGTGGCAAAGCGACAACAACTGTGGATACGTGGTAATCAGAATAGCCATTCGCACTGAGAGAAACAGGGCAATATATGACGGCACAAATCATATCACATACCAGTGTGTAGTCTGAACATAAACACAGCGTCAGTGGCGTAGCGACAACAACTGTGGATACGTGGTTAAATCAGAATGGCCAGTTGCACTGAAGGATACAGGGCAGCCTGACGACATAAGCTGTAAGCTGTGCACCTCCATTACCAGAGCGGGGCGTCCTGACGCGGCGCTCTCCGTGGCCTGTGTCGCCACATTCCCGGTCCCGCCCTCTGCCAACGGTGAAGATCCGGTTCGTTTCGGGTTCGAACCGTTTTGGCGGCTGTAGCCGAATTAGGCGGGACGAGGTGCCGACGAAGAGAGACATCGAGGAAGGCTGGACCGTATAGAGATCAAAAGTTTCGGTTTAATGTCTGGCCGCGGCGAGACTAAATTTCATGCTGTGAGAGCTGGGATCGAACACGGGTCTCCCGTGCGACGGCTTTGGGTTTCGCCACTGAACCACAGGGGGGAATGACCACTTTCGCGCCTTTAGACACAGAGCCATCGCCTTGCCTCGTCTCTCTGGATGCGTCTTCGCATGACTTACCATAGGACGTCGTGAAGACGGAATCTTTTTGAAGTAGCTTGGCTGATAGATACCGAGCTAAGTAAAATAATAAAAGTATCCTTTCCGACGAAGCCTATCGCGTCGAGTCCTTCTAGCGAGCCCGCGAAAAGGACCGGAGAGGCGACGGGCAGGTTAAAATGCATCTGCTGCGAGAGCCGGGATCGAACACGGGTCTCTCGCGCGAAGGCTTCGGGTTCCGCCACTGGGCCACAGGGGGGAACGACTGTTAACTCTTCTTTGGGCGTGAGAGGGCCCACCAGCAGCCGCTGGCGGCAGTGGGCCTCATCCCTGCTGATGCCCGGGTTTATGAGGGCGCGTACCGGTAGACCAGCACGTATGCCTGTCGTCCGTGAGTGCGGCCTCGGTAGATCCTTGTTTGGGTAGAGCGAGTCGATACCGCACATATCTGGCATGTAGCAGCCATCGGATGCGGGGAGGAAACGTGGTGAGTAACCTCCATTGCAACTTCCACGATGACTTCAGATAAGACTTCTAGCGTGAAGAAAGAGATTCTGACGTAATTGTCGCGCCCATGCTTTTTATACTGCCCGCGGACCGGTCAGCATTTGCATGTTTTGCGTCAATTGGCCAGCTGTCTCCAGCTGGCGTTAATCTATAAGATTTCAGTGAAAATGGAGAAGGGGAGGAGTTCCCATATACGTCAGTATGACGTAATGTCGAAGTGACCGCCTTGAAAGGGAACGTCTCCGGTTACTATCGTAACCTCGGTTCCCTGAGAGGCGGGAACGAGACATTACGTCATACTGACGTATATGGGAACTCCTCAGTATACGTCAGTATGACGTAATGTCGAAGTGACCGCCTTGAAAGGGAACCAAATTGCTTACCACAGCTATGCAGATGACACACAGCTCTACTTAGCCCTATCGTCTAACGACTACAGCCCCATTGACTCCCTGTGCCAATGCATTGATGAAGTCAACAGCTGGATGTGCCAAAACTTTCTTCTGTTAAACAAAGACAAAACTGAAGTCATTGCGTTTGGAAACAAAGATGAAGTTCTCAAGGTGAATGGATACCTTGACGCTAGGGGTCTAACAACTAAAAATCAAGGAATCTTGGTGTGTCTCTAGAGTCAGACCTTAGTTTCAGTAGTCATGTCAAAGCAATAACTAATTCAGCATACTATCATCTAAAAAATATTGCAAGAATTAGATGCTTTGTTTCCAATCAAGACTTAGAGAAACTTGTGCATGCTTTTATCACCAGCAGGGTGGATTATTGTAATGGACTCCTCACTGGCCTTCCTAAAAAGACCATAAGACAGTTGCAGCTCATACAGAACGCAGCTGCCAGGATTCTGACCAGGACCAGAAAATATGAACATATCACACCAGTCCTCAGGTCTTTACACTGGCTCCCAGTTACATTTAGGATTGATTTTAAAGTATTATTACTGGTATATAAATCATTCATTGGGCTAGGACCTCATTAAATTGCAAATATGCTCACTAAATATAAACCCAACAGATCACTCAGATCATTAGGATCACATCAGCTAGAAATACCAAGGGTTCACTCTAAGCATGGAGAGTCTGCTTTTAGCTATTATGCAAGCCGCAGCTGTAACCAGCTTCCAGAGGAGATCAGATGTGCTCCTACAGTAGTCACATTCAAATCCAGACTCAAAACACATCTGTTTAGCTGTGCATTTACTGAATGAGCACTGTGCCACTGTTCGTCCGACTGTTTTTACTGTATTTTATTTTATTTTTTATTCTAAACTGTTTTAATTATTCTTATTCCTTTTGATTATTTTAATTTCATCTATGTAAAGCACTTTGAATTACCATTGTGTATGAAATGTGCTATATAAATAAACTTGCTTTGCCTACATTTACATGCCAATTTTCTCATAATTTCTGTTACCTAAATCCGCTTTTGTACATTTGAACTTGGACTCATTTTCTGTCCAGCTTCATTAAAATGTTCTTACTGTTGGCATTAATTCAGGAAATTACAAGTGTGTTTATTGTACCTTTCTGTGTGGGGTTGTAAATGGGTTGGTCAGTCTGAATAAAGATGTAGCCAGTCTGTTTGGAGACCAGGACGCGAGTCTGCCATTTCTGACCATCAACTTCACATGCCAGGTTGAGATAAGGAGGCTCTCCATTGATAGATTTAATTTTTGAAACTTTTTTTGCAAATATCTTGAAAAGGAAACACACAGAAATTAGCCTAATACACAGCAACTTTTTTTAAATGGCATGCTTATGTTTTTGTACTTTTTATTCAACAATACATTTGAAAATTATATCTGAACAGCTAGATATGTAATTATTTTACATATTTATTGAAACATAAATAAATTATATGACAAATCTGAAATTACAAGAAAATGTAGGTCTATCTATTCATTTAAATGTTTATTTCTTTACCTCAAGCTTAAATTCCTCAAACTCTCCTTTTTTGCTGATTGTTTTGGTCTCCCGTGCAGACATTGGAGTAGGCTTACGCATCTCTGTTTCTAACTGACAGGACACAGGTTTACCAAGCAATGCCTCCCCCACCTGAATCCTTATGGGTTCTTTCACACCAACATGAAAGACACTCGGAGCAATGATTAGGAATCTGACAAACACAAACCAAGACAATTTTTAAAATCATAATTAAATTTAGTTTAATTATTTATAAAAATGACAACAGCATTTACAACTAATTTCTCTTCTGCAATGTGATCATTTTAGAGTAAAACCAAGTAATCAATGAGAAAACATGTAAAGAATGACACGTTTTCATTTCATGGCATTAGTGGAGCTAGACCAGAATGAGAATTTGCAGTAGATTGTGAAGGACTACACGTCCTGAAATGCACTAACAACTACTAACTTATTTGAGAACCATGATGGAGAACCATGATGTAGTTGAATGTCATATTCACCCTTATCTTGACGTATGGTAATGCTTCCTCAAAACGTCTCAGATTATGACTGTAAACGTGGTTCCCTGAGAAGGGGAACAATACACTGCGTTTTGGATGGATGCTATGGGGATGCATCAGCGTATCCAATGTCTTAAAGGGGTCATGAACTGGCTTTTTAAAAAAAATGTATATTGTTGTCTGAGGTCAACTTATGACGTTCGCTTGGTTTTTACATTCAAAAACATCAAAATGAATAAGTAATAGGCTATTTTCTACCCTAGTTTTGAGCCTAGCTCAAAAACGCTCGGTTTTTATGGCCGTCTCGCATTGAAGACTTGGAAGTAAACACCCACTGCTGTGAGTGGATAACAGTTTTGCATATTATAATGAGTTTAACGTGTAATGCGCGAATCGGTGGGCGGGGCTAAACCGGCCGTGTTGAAGTAGGCGTTGATCTTCTGCGGGGGTGGTGTATTATCTTCTTTGTCGTCATAGTTCCCCACTTTGAAAAACGAGTCGTTTGCTGAGCCTGGTGTCAATAAAAGCTTTTATTGGACTAACAAGGACGTTTTCGGTTCTGAAACTTATAGGATATTCTTATATTATGATGACCTCTTAGATGTCAAAAGCTCAAGGAAAATTAGATTTCTCAGTTCATCCCCCTTTAAGCATGTGTGAAGACATTCCAACCTGATCGGTTGGCGACAGTCCGAGACATCATTAGTAAAGTGCCCGGAAGTATAAGAGTAGCACAAGTAATCAATTTCTTTGTCTGAGGAAGAGGTGTAGGCAGACCCAATGCCATGGCAACAAGATGCAGTGTCTCCTAACTCTTTTCAGGGAACCACGGTTACAGTCGTAACCTGAGACGTTCCCTTTCGAATGGGAACTCTACATTGCGTTAAAACAAATATCTAACTACACTGGGTAAGAGGCTGTTATAAATCAGATTTTTGGGAGGACTAAACAACCAACTATAAACATAAATAAGACAGTTTGAACCCAAAACAATTAAGAATTATGGATAGATTATATAGGAATGTATACCACAAAAGCAACCAGCAATTAATATTGAAAAACAAACAAACAAGTAAACACCAAATCTTTGAAACAATTATCAATGAAATGATAGCTCAGATAATGATTTATATTGGGAGTTAATAGGGTTTATGCAAGCAACTTTGTTTGAGGTAGTCCGTCTTTGAAAGAAAGATTCCCTTGTAATCGAGATAAAGCAAAAATTCAGTGCACATAAAGAAATCCAAAAAAGAGAGAAAATTTAAAAATTCACACAGAAAGAAGTTGTTCTAAATCCTTGTGGGCCAAATCCAACAGGATCCACAAGCGATGCCAACAAAGGTCATGAACAGAAATACACATTAAGCAGTCCACAACATGTCCTTCTATAAACACAGATGAACTGACATTAGTAAAATAGCATGATAGAAAACACATACTGTATACAATGTACAGATAACAAAAAAGAATATCTTACTTCGATTGAGAAGGAAACAAAAATATTCTGAATAAGGACATTTTGAATTGAGGTGATGCAGCAGGTAAGCCATGCTTCCCTCTGCCCAAACAAATCTGTCTTCCTTCTTTTTTCTATTGGCGGGAGGCATCTAACAATTTAGGTGCATATTCGCCACCTGTTGTACTGGAGTGTGGGCCAAATATTTGTGTTTTCTTAATAAGAAAAAATAAATAAATAAATGAAATTATTTTCATTAATCCAGTTTCTTTCAGAAATATAAATACAGCTTTATTTATCTGTTCTTCATTAAGTATATTCTTAAGATTTAACACACCCTTTAACTCATCTTTTAAAGGGGTCATATAATCCCATTTTTGTGCAAGCTAATATGATTCTTTAGGGTCTAAATTAAAAGTTTGTAATATACTTTAATAAAAAATTCTCATTAGTATTGTAAGAAAACACTTATTTTACCTGGTCAAAAACAGCTCTGTTTTCAGCACGCCGTTTCAGTGTATGACTTTAAATGATAATGAGCTTTTCTCACCCCGCCCTTTCTGTTCTGTGCATACACCGTTTATAACACAATAACACAATAACCATAACACGTTGTTCAGTATAAACGTGGGATTATGAATTATATTGAGAACGTCATGCATAGAAAACATGCCGTAATGTAGCAGCTACCCTGAGTGTAAACCTTAGACGCATTCATTGTGAAGCGTGCAGCTAGCGATTTGCAAAGATTAATATTTCACGAGTTCACACTTACAAATAAGTCAGATAGAATAAATGCGTATTTGGCGTGCTGTCCGAGGAGAGGGCTCCGAGTTAGGTATTCGGCCCGAACCCAGAGCACTCCCCCCGTATTCCAGGCTGTGAAATAAATAAATAAGATAAGCCAAGAGTGAGGAGTCGGGGTGGGGGAGGGATGCTGAAACTGTCAAGGAATGTTAGGTGAGTTGACAGAGTGAATATTTATAAGCTCCTTCTCGTGCTGATAGGGTAGACATGGTAATTGTTTGATGACCAGTTGATTGGAATGATTATTTGAACGTGCTCCTCCCGAACTTTGTTTATAAAACATCATATTAATATAAAGTTTAATAAAACGTTACACTCACTTCCGTTCTTCTGGAGATTCAGCAGGAACACGAATAGCTGGTACCGATTTTTTTTTCATGAGCAGCTTCTTAGCAAATCCAGCTTTACTGATCCTCGTTTATAAAGCAGTCTGGTGTGTGAAATGATTCGCGCAAACATGAGAGCATTGACGTTGCTCGTGGGGAATATTCCCTTCGAAAACAAACACAGCCACTGCGTCTTCAGCGGTTCGGATTTAGGAACATTAAAATGACTGCTGTGTTCGTTATAACACCCAAGAACAGAACACCACAATCGCTTAGACGCCATTCTGCTCATAGACAGTGCTCCAGCATATCAACAATGACCGCGCAGACTATGATTGACAGCTCCCTCATGAGCGAGGGCGGGTCTGTGTTAAAAAGCTCCTGTCAATCAACAATCGTGGGAGGGGCGTGCGAGCTTGTGACGTCACAGGCTCGAACGGCTCGATTTGAGGCAGGGGAAAACATATAAGGAGATTAAAACAAAACCACTGGATGGATGGTTGTGTACAGACACTGCCAACACACATTTCAGTACAATCAACTTGTAAAAGTGCATGTACCATTATATGACCCCTTTAACCTTGTTCTTTGTGTATCATACTTAATGCAGTGACAAATGACGTGCTCCACTGACTCTTCTTCCATTCCACAATCACACATACCTGAAGGATGCTTTCTCAATAAATATATTGTTTTTTTTTAACCCAGTATGTCCTAACCTCATCCTTGATATTATGGTTTGCTCCCTAGGAGTTCCCTTTCGAAAAGGAACTCGCACTGCGTCGATGACGCTTTGGGGGAACGCCCCAGGCGTAACAGGTGTCTGAAATCACAATCAAATCACGGCAATCACATTGACCGGCTATAGCCTGTGAATCATTAGCGTGAATGATTAACGTGCGACCTGGAAGTATAAAAGGGCGCCTTGCAAAAGAAGTTTACAGACCCGTGATCTAGATATCTGACGCCGGGTGACACACACGAACTGTGCGTTTTTCTGTCTGGGAAGGAAGAGCGCGCACAGGCAGTTCTCGAGGGAACTGCTGTACAAATTGTGAGAATTTTTCTTTGAGAACGCTCCGCTCTCGTCTGGACGCTGTAGGGACACTTCTATTAGCTCAGATACAGGTAATATAATTGTAATAACGAATAATAAACATGATCGGGAATCACCTACAAATTATAAAATTACCCGTAAGGGAATAAGTTGCCAATGTTCTGCATGAACAACTGAATACAACGAATTATCTTCAGTTCTCCATACAGGTAGGCAAAAATAGAACAATTGTCCCATCAATAATCAATCACAACGAATTATAATTACATATTAATATGTCAATTGTCTAAAATAGATTGATTCTAAGGATTGTAACCTTTGGCTAAATAAAAAAAAACCCGACTACGCCACCTAGGTTACTTCACCCAGGAAAGTATACAAATAAACAAAATATCCCCCAAAATAATTAAACCCAAAAGAATTACAATGATATGAAGGACCCTGCTGGTTCGGATTGCGTTAAAGGCGGAGACGTGACTTCCAAAAGTACAAAGTTTATTTCACACAGGAAACATTCAGTTTAAAACATCCTAAAAATAGATCTCCTACAGTTTACCAATTAAATACCCACAGTTGAGAAGAGACCGCAATTAATCCACTTTAGCAGAAGGGACAAACCACCCAAAACAGTGAATAAAAAGTTCTTAAAGCAAGTGATAAACAAAAATAAAAAAACAATATCAAAAGAAAACAATACACTCTCCTCTTCTGCTAAGCCTCAGTATCACAAGTCAGATAATTCGCATGTGGACATACATTGGCAAATAAATTTTAAATACCGATTAGGGCAGAAATCGTTAAAAAGCTGTGGTTCGAAGCCGCGGTTCGAAGCCGCAAACGTCCACTGCGCCGTACAAACAGGACAATGAGACAACACAACCAGGTAAACGAAACAGCAGCTAGCGCTCTGAGACCGCACCTGCAATAAAAAATACAATAAAAGCACAAATAGTGCATTAATTTCAAAGGATTCCCCCCCCCACAGAATAAAAAAAACTTCAGTGAGCTTTATGCTTCCTGCGCTCGCCACTTCACACACACACA